CTTCCTCTTTTAGAAGAAAGCCACTATTCTGAAGTTGGTCTGTATCCTGCCCACTTGTTTTTATCTTACATTAATGAGCTAAGCATCAAACTCAGATAAGGAAATAATAAAAGAAATAAACAGAAAACAAGAGGGGATTAACAATATCAAAATCTTGGCAGTGGGTGGGGGGGTTTGGTTTTTTTGTGTGTATATGTTTGTTTCTTGAGACAGAGTCTTGCTCTGTCGCCCAGGCTGGAGTTCAGTGGCATGATCTAGGCTCACTGCAACCTCCGCCTCTCAGGTTCAAGTGATTCTCCTGCCTCAGCCTCCCGAGTAGCTGGGATTACAGGCATGCGCTACTATGCCTGGCTAATTTTTGTATATTATTAGTGGAGACGGGGTTTCACCATATTGGTCAGGCTGGTCTCGAACTCCTAACCTCAGGGGATCTGCCCGCCTTGGCTTCCCAGAGTGCTGGGATTGCAGGCATGATTCACCGTGCCCGGCAAAGTTGGTTCTTTAAGAGTAAAATACATAGACTTCTGGCAGGAATGAAAAGGGAGAATGAAAGATGCCTCTCGTGGTTAATGAAAGGCTGATCTTTGCTTCTGGAAGAATGTTCTCACTATATTAAACAGAATTGGGCCAGGCACTGTGGCTCATGCCTGTAATCCCAGCACTTCGGGAGGCTGAGGTGGGCGGATCACGAGGTCAGGAGTTTGAGACCAGCCTGACCAACATGGTGAAACCCCATCTCTACTAAAAATACAAAAATTAGGTGGGCGTGGTGTTGCGCGCCTGTAATCCCAGCCAGTCAGGAGGCTGAGGCAGGAGAATCACTTGAACCCGGGAGGCGGAATTTGCAACGAGCCGAGATGGCACCACTGCACTCCAGCCTGGGTGACAGAGTGAGACTCCACCTCAAAAATAATAAAACAGAATTTTTCCTGTTTGCTCCTCTAGATATAGGTTGCCTTTCTCTCCCTAGACTCTTCTCACCTTTTGACCTCCCTGTTTATTGTGCCTCGCCTTATTGATGAACTGTGGTGTAAGGCAGAGTAAGGAGGGAAGTCGGTGGTTTCTACAGTTTGGTGCCGTGTAGGAGGAAGTTGGCTGCTTTTAGCAGATCTGAGCCATAACATAGGTGAGGAGGGAGGGGCCAATAGCTAGGAGCATGGACTCAAGTATATGTGGATGAGGGCCGGGGGCCGGAAGGGGAGGGGTATGTGGGGATGGCTGGGGGGCAACCCAGATAAGACTTTCAACACTGGGCAGCAGCGTCTACACAGGCGGTCTGTGTAGATCCCTGCATCTCACTTCCGGCAGGGCTGACCAGTGGCCAGAGGTGGGACTGGCCAGGCTCGGCCCAGCCAAGTCTGGGAGCAGAGGACACCCTCACTGGGCTGTGGCTCTCCTGACACCACAAGAGAGGTCCAGGAGCTCCTACTCTCCTCCTGTGGATCCATATACCCCTTCGCCCAGGGTGGCTGGGCCCACCCCCTGGCTGAGAGCCATCATTTGTGAACTAACAGGGAAGTCTTCCAGCTGCCCTCTTCCCCCTGTAACAGGAAGGGTTTGCCTCATCACCCGTTGCACCAGTCATCTTACAAAGCTTCCTTCTAGAAATGCTAAGTCATCCTGTGTGTGCATTTGGGCCAGGACAGAGGTAGCTGCTTTCGTGTGTTTTGAGTAGGGTTAGCAATCTCAAGCCATAGCTGCTCCTCTTTCCTGAGAAATACAGTCCTCTGTTAGCTCCCCGAGATTTTACTTCATTTTGTCTGTGGGGGAAAAGTGGCTGAAGAGTCATAGATTCTAACAATAAATTGTCAGTTGGGCAAGTAGTCTTTTATAAGGCATACTTTCTGAAAATACTAAATGTCTTAATGTTAAAGTACTACATTGACTTTTTAATTCAAATGAAGTAAAGTGGTAAAACTTTAATGACTACAGCTATACTGAAAACCGTAAAATATAAAAAACCTAACATTTTTTTGAGAGCTGTCTGTAAATGTGACTTCTCAATGTAAAATCTTCAAAAAAAAAAAAATTAAAGTCCTCTAAATTGAATTTGAAATTTTACTCATGGACCAACACTGAGTATTCTACATAACAGTGGTTTTTATTTTATTTTCCTGGTTTTAGAGACAGCGTCTCACTCTTGCCCAGGCTGGAGAGCAGTGGTGGGGTCATGGCTCACTGTAGGCTTGAACTCCTGGGCTCAAGTGATCCTCCCACCTCAGCCTCCCAACGTGCTGGGATGACAGGTGTGAGCCACCACGCACAGCCATAACAATGGTTTTTATCTCTTCATTTTCCCTCAAAACTCCCTTTTGAATGTCACGTTCATCTTGGTGGTTGGATACTCATATTTATATTGGAAGATTGTCTTGGAGTTTTGGTTATCAAATTAACTGTTTAGAGCTTCTGATAAAAGTTCCTTCTGATCCATGTCAACTTTCGTGGCCTAAGGTTGAAACTTTCAGCGCTTTGTATAAACAGACTTTCCTGCTCCATCTTTCATCTGGTTGTTATGTGAACTTTGGTAATTTTCACGCACGCCCGTGTGAAAAGACCACCAAACAGGCTTTGTGTGAGCAATAAAGCTTTTTAATCACCAGGATGCAGGTGGGCTGAGTCTGAAAAGAGTCAGCGAAGGGAGAGCAGTGGGGCCGTTTTATAGGATTTGGGTGGGTAGTGGAGAATTACAGTCAAAGGGGGTTTTTCTCTTACGGGCAGGGGCAGGGGTCACAAGGTGCTCAGTGGAGGAGCTTCTGAGCCAGGAGAAGGAATTTCACAAGGTTAATCGCTCAGTTACGGTGGGGCAGGAACAAATCATAATGGTGGAATGTCATCAGTGAAGGCAGGAACCGGCCATTTTCACTTCTTTTGTGATTCTTCACTTACTTCAGGCCATCTGGATGTATTCGTGCAGGTCACAGGGATATGATGGCTTAGCTTGGGCTCAGAGGCCTGACAGTAATCTGTTTCCTCTTCCCGATCCCCTCTTGTAGGAGAAGCTGTCTTTGCTCGGTGCTTATCATCTCTGAAGGATGAGAGAATTCAAGCTAGCAAAAAGCTGAAGGGTCCCCAGAAGTTCCAGTTTGATGGTGATAAGAAATCATTCCTGGAGGACATTCGGAAGGTGGGACACAGTCCCTGGCAGTGGTCTTTGTTGGTCCCGTGGAAGGCAGTGGGGGTGGGGATTGTTGTGGGAGAACACGCGAGGCCACGGGATGCCAGGTGGAATGAAGTTCAACCTTCACTTGGATCTTGACTTACAGCTTTTTCCTAGAATCTTGTCCCTTCTGGGATCTCCACTGCTGATGAGAATAAGACTGATAGACACGAGGCGGTCACTCTCCTAATGGCAATCCTAACAGGTCTCTGTGTCACTCTTCAGGCCCTCTACGCTTCCAAGATCATCTCTTATGCTCAAGGCTTTATGCTGCTAAGGCAGGCAGCTACCGAGTTTGGCTGGACCCTCAATTATGGTGGCATTGCCCTAATGTGGAGAGGGGGCTGCATCATCAGAAGGTAAGTGAGAGGCAGCCCAGGGTCCGACGGGAAGGATTCATGCTGCTGTGCAGAAGTGCGATCTTAGGACACTCAGCTTTATCAGTTTCCAGGGGTGGGCAATTAGCCCCGTCACTGGGCACAGGCAGCAAGATAGGTTTAGATTTTGTGGCTCCCTTCTTCACTATACCTCAGTTGCTCTACCTAGATTGTCCACACTACACCTTTTTTTTAAGTAGTTCTGTGAGAACTGTCATGCCCTCTGGCCTTGCCTCTTGGGACTTTTGCTGTGTATTTTCATTGGAAATGTCAAATCATAGAAAACGTAGCATTCCTACACATGACATTACATCATTCTCATGCTGGCTGAAGATTCATTTGATGAATCTGATTTTCCTGAAATAGATGATTCTGGTGATTCAGATGAATCTAATATTAGTTCTCTTTAGAAATAACTCCAAGAATAGTTTTTATATTTTATTTTCACATTGAAAATCAGTCAGATTTGCTTCAGCCTCAAAAAGCGTGTTTAAGTAAAATTAAATGAGCGCTGGCAGGGAGCTGCACTTTTTATCTAAACAGGAAAAGGGTTAACAGCTAGCTCGAAGAGATAAGAAATGTAACTTTGTACTTCACTAGGGTATACATCGGCTTCCAACTTACTTCCCTGTTAGAGTTAAGATTCATTGCTTTCAGCCTGGTGCGGTGGCTCACGCCTGTAATCCCAGCATTTTGGGAGGCTGAGGCAGGCGGATCATAAGGTCAGGAGATCGAGACCATCCTGTCTAACACGGTGAAACCCCGTCTTTACTAAAAGTACAAAAATTAGCTGGGCGTAGTGGTGCGTACCTGTAATCCCAGCTACTTGGGAGGCTGAAGCAGGAGAATCGCTTGAACCTGGGAGGCAGAGGTTGCAGTGAGCTGAGATCATGCCACTGCATTCCAGCCTGGTGACAGAGCGGGACTGCGTCAAAAAAAAAAAAAAAGATTCATTGCTTTTTTCCCTCCTCGATTATTTCAGTGTATTCCTAGGAAAGATAAAGGATGCATTTGATCGAAACCCGGAACTTCAGAACCTCCTACTGGACGACTTCTTTAAGTCAGCTGTTGAAAACTGCCAGGTACGTAGCCTAGAGCTGGCGCCATGGTTACTCTACCTCCCTGGGGCCATCAGTTGTGTTTTTTTGTTTGTTTGTTTTTTGAGACGGAGTCTTGCTCTGTCTCCCAGGCTGGAGTGCAGTGGCCCTGCAATCTCCACCTCCTGGGTTCAAGTGATTCTCCTGCCTCAGCCTCCTAAGTAGCTGGGATTACAGGCATGCCACCATGCCCGGCTAATTTTTTTTTTTTTTTTGTATTTTTACTAGAGATGGAGTTTCACCATGTTGGTCAGGCTCATGTTGAACTCCTGACCTCATGATCCGCCCGCCTCAGCCTCCCAAAGTGCTGGGATTACAGGTGTGCGCCACCGTGCCCAGCCTCACCATCAGTTTTTCATTTATCCACATTGATGTGAATAAAAATCTGTCAGCATCACCAGGGGCAGATCACTAACCTCTGGCCATGCATTTTGTGCTCAGGACTCCTGGCGGCGAGCAGTCAGCACTGGGGTCCAGGCTGGCATTCCCATGCCCTGTTTTACTACTGCCCTCTCCTTCTACGATGGGTACAGACATGAGATGCTTCCAGCCAACCTCATCCAGGTAAGCCTGTGGAGCAGGGGTTAACCTGGCTGGCCGCTGGGGGACGTGTGCCATGGACTGTCCTGACCAACCTACTCTCTCGTTTCCTAGGCTCAGCGGGATTACTTCGGGGCTCACACCTATGAACTGTTGGCCAAACCAGGGCAGTTTATCCACACCAACTGGACAGGCCACGGTGGCAGTGTGTCATCCTCGTCATACAATGCCTGATCGTGCTGCTCCTGTCACCCTCCACGATTCCACAGACCAGGACATTCCATGTGCCTCGTGGCACTGCCACCTAGCCCTTTGCCCTATCTTCTGTTCAGATCTTTTTTTAAAGTGTTGTTAGAGACTCCTGAGGAAGACACACGGTTTATTTGTAAAGTAGCTCTGTGAGAGCCACCGTGCCCTCTGCCCTTGCCTCTTGGGACTGAGCAGGAGCTGCTCATGTGCGTGAGAGTGGGAACCATCTCCTTGTGGCAGTGGCTTCCGCCTGCCCCATGTGCTGGTGCGGTTCCCATCACGCAGTCGGGAAGGATGTTTGTGCACTCGGATCAACTGGAACCTCTATCATGCGGCTGCATTCCCTTTTCCCTTTACTCAATAAAAGCTGCATCAGACTGATGCTCTCTCTCCAGATTCTTAGTCTCGCCTCGGCCGCATGGAGCCATTATCCCCATTGGCAGAAAGATTTTTCTTTAAAAACAAAGACTAGAATAACAAGAAACACCACATTTAGGATCATGCTTCACTCGGAGGAGGAAGGCAGGGAGGGCGCACCAGAGGCTGTAATACACTGGGCGTGTTCTCTTTCTCCAGTTGGGCAGTGGGTACGTGGATGTTCACTGTAACGTGCTTTTTCTTTCGTCTTTTTTTTTTTTTTCTGCTCCTGGCAAGCTGTGCGTGACATTCGTTATGCCTTTTTGTATGTCAAATACTTCATAATAAACTTTCTAGAGAATTACGCTTTAATGAATGGCTCAGCTTGGTCTGATTGATTTCCTTTCCCACACCTGTCTCTACTTGCTTTAAGTCAGGCCCAGGGATTCAGCGTGGGATTTTGAACAATCTAAGCCTGCTCCTTAAACTAGGCTTTTCACTTTTATCTTATTTACTCAGAAAAAATAAACCCTGCCAGCATACTGATACGGTTGTGTGGCCTGGGGCCAATGTAACTGTTTCCCTGCCACGGTTTGACTTCATGATGATTTCCCTGGAGTGCTAAGAAAGTCCTAAGAGTTGCCCAAGCGGAGCAAACCGCCTGTGCCTCAACAGCTGGTGTCTACAGTATGACCTCTCACCTCTCAGGGCTAATATGAAGGAGACAGTTTTCATTAAACCACCAACGTAAAAAAAAATTTTTTTTTTTTTGAGATAGAGCCTTGCTCTGTCTCCCAGGCTGGAGTGCAGTGGTGTGATCTCAGCTCACTGCAAGCTCCACCTCCCGGATTCACGCCATTCTCCCGCCTAAGCCTCCCGAGTAGCTGGGACTACAGGCACCTGTCACCTCGCCCAGCTAATTTTTTTGTATTTTTAGTAGAGACAGGGTTTCACCGTGTTAGCCAGGATGGTCTCGATCTCTTGACCTCGTGATCCGCCTGCCTGGGCCTCCCAAAGTGTTGGGATTACAGGCATGAGCCACCGTATTTTAAAATTTTGTTTAGAGATGTGGTCTCGCTACGATGCCCAGGCTGATGTCAAACTCCTGGGCTCAAGCGATGCTCCTGCCTCGGCCTCCCAAGGTGCTGGGATCACAGGCAGGAGCCACCGTGCCCCGCTACCAACTTTTTAAACTCAGCCTAGATGTGAGTTCTTCGCTAGATCAGCCCCCACTCACCCCTCCTGCCCTCCCTGTATGATTAAGAGAAGCCCGAGTAGCATGTGACGGGATTGTTCTTTAAGGGTTGTGAAAGGCACTGCTCAGTGGGGATCTTTTGACCTGGCTCTGAGGGTGATGGATGGACGCTGCTGGAAGGGAGAGAGAACAGCAGGAGGTCAGAGACTAAGTGTCAAAGGGCCCATGATGTTTGAAATGGTAATGATCAGAAGGGAATCCACTCAGCCCCTTTCCGCTTACCTTCCAAAAAGCCGTGAGTGGTGGAGTTTGGTTTCAAATTCAGCCCTCTTTGCTTACTAGCTATTAGACTTTGGGGAAATTATTTACTATCTGCTGTGTTCTCAGTTTTCTCATTTATAAAATGGGAAATAATAGCACCTGTGTCCTTGAGGCTATTCTGGGGTTTCACCAAGGGAAAACAGAACGGTGCCTGGCACATAGTAAATACCTACACAAGTGGCAGCAAGGCTGGGTGCGGTGGCTCACACCTGTAATCCTAGCACTTTGGAAAGCTGAGGTGGGAGGACTGCTTGAGCCCAGGAGTTTGAGACCAGCCTGGGCAACATAGTGAGACCTCCATCTCTACAAAAAATAAAAATTAGGCCGGGCGCGGTGGCTCAAGCCTGTAATCCCAGCACTTTGGGAGGCCGAGACGGGCGGATCACTGTCTCTTATACACATCTAGATGTGTATAAGAGACAGGGTCAGAGCTTCTCAACCTAACCTGCTTGCGACTTCCCCACTCCCACCCTGCCACCCCACTGAGATTTGAAAAAATACAGATTCTGATTCAGCAGAATCCTGAAAATGGCTCTTTGTGGGGTGCAGCCCCATGTTCTGCATTTCTCTTTTTTTTGAGACAAGGTCTTGTTCTGTGGCCCAGGCTGGAGTGCAGAGGCACTATCACAGCTCACTGCAGCCTCAACCTCCTGGGCTCAGGTGATCCTCCTAACTCAGCCTCCTGGCTAGCTGGGACTCCACGTGCACACCGCCACGCCTGGCTAATTTCTAAACTTTTTGTAGAGAGGGGCTGTCCCTATGTTGCCCAGGCTGATCAACTGCTGGGCTCAAGCGATCCTCCGGCCTCAGCCTCCCAAGTGCTGAGACCACAGGCAGGAACCACCATGCCTGGGCCTGGGCTCCAATCTTGGCTCCGCCACAAATTCAGTCTTACTTCACAAGTTAGTTAACCTCTGTGTGTATCTTCTCATCTATATAAAAGGGATGATAATAACACCCCTCACAGAGCCGTCTTCAGGATGAAACACAAGGCACTTGCACCAGAGCCGGCCACACAGTGAGCACCGTGTAAGGTTCACTGTTTATTACCTGCCTCCTGAAGGGAGCTTGCTAGACAATTCTGTGTGTGGAAGGAGGTGGAAAGATGAAATGTGCACACCGACAGGTCAGTCTCAGCTCACTACAACCTCCACCTCCCAGGCAAGCGATTCTCTTGCCTCAGCCTCCCGAGAGCTGAGATTACAGGCGCACGCCACCATGCCCGGCTAATTTTTGTATTTTTAGTAGAGATGGGGTTTCACCATGTTGGCCAAGCTGGTCACAAACTCCTGACTTCAGGTGATCCACCCGCCTCAGCCTCCCAAAGTGCTGGGAATACAGGCGTTGAGCCACCACGCCTGGCCAAGATTGATTTTTGTATTGACATTTTACAGTGCAGTTTTTTTTTTTTTGAGATGGAGTTTCACTCTTGTTGCCCAGGCTGGAGTGCAATGTACGATCTCAGCTCACCGCAACCTCCGTCTCCCAGGTTCAAGCGATTCTCCTGCCTCAGCCTCCCCAGTAGTTGGGACTACAGACATGCAGCACCACT